TCAGTTGGCTGTGTGTTGTAGGTGGTGGACGTGAAGGAGCTGTGTGCAGAGGAACACAGACACACATCTGTACATCACAGGATTTAAAATGGTATTTCCTTCCAGGGCCACGTGGCAAAGTCTGGATTTTTTTTTTGGAAGCAAAGAAAGATCCAGTTTCAGTGGGTTGGTTAAATGACTTACTTTGATGTGGCTACTTTGTAGACACAGATATACAGCTCGACTCAGGCTGTGTTGTGGAGAAGAAAAGAAGTGAAACTTTAAAGCTACAGCCTGTTTATCTTTGCTGTAAAGAGGAGACCCAGAGTGGGTGATCGTTCATATCTGAGAGCCGGTTAAGTAGTCTTGGAACGTGTAACAGCAGGTCTCAGCTCAGCCAGGAGTGGAGACGGGAACTGTACGGTGTATTCCCATGGGGACGTTGCGGGGCGAGCGTGGTGGGAGGGAGAACGTTGCGGTGGGTGCCTGCAGTTCAGCCGAAATGCTTAATCCTCAGTTCGAACTTTTACCTTCGACAACATCTGTTACTTTCCTAAATGCTTTGTGTTGAGTCATTTTCAGGGAAATTGAAAAGACGGGGTCTAGATCCTCATAGAACAGGAGAGAAAACAGCTGCAGGAGCTGAGAAGAAAGCGAGATGGATGGTTTAGCAAGAAGTGAGAGCGTCGCGCGTCCCGGCACTCCAGACATCTTGGAACAACCTTGAGGGTTCCACTTCATATGGGAGACAGTTTTGTTTAAATTTCAAAAGAGAACCGGACCTTAGCCTAAATCCTTGCAGCCCAGTTATAGAGTTACGGAGTGTGGGGGGCATTTGGTTTAGGAAGCACAGTGAAAGCAAACCCGGAGGACACATGGTTGCTTTATTTCAGGACTCAGTGGGAAACCACTGGTGCCAAGGGATATGAATATTTAACATTTTCCCAAGGAAACAGTCAATCTGTTAGTTTTTCCTTCCCCAAATAACAAGACGGAGATGATAAGTAAGTGAAAGACACTGGGGACAATTGAAGGTCACTGGATCCAACCAGCTACGAAAAAGAATGAAGTCAGAAGCATCAGAGGATTGAACGCCGTGTAGACAACACCGTAACAATAACTGTAACCGACAACAAGAATCTCCGAACTAAAAACATTTCATTTCCAAAAGCTTCCCAGTAATTAATGAGTAATGAGTAAGAGGAGAGAGTAGGGAATAGGTTTTTTGGTGGGGAAATTATTTTTACCTCAACTTCAAAAATGTTCATTGGGTGTTACTGGACGGACCAGTAAGAGAGTGTAATTCCCTCTCACTGTCCGGTTCTCTACTTCATGGGGTCTCCATGTGGTTACTACGCTGGTCTTCAAGTTACCGCAGAGTCCTTCATCCTGCATTGCCTTGATCATCACATCACACATACTCATTGGGGCTGAGTAATGACTTACTCACCGGTGCAAATGAAGTTAACGGAGGAAGACGGTGGGTTTTCGGCAAACCCCTTACCGAAGCTTCTCATCAATGGACCCACTGATTAGGCTCGTGCCTGGTTAGCGATGTTTCAGTGGAAACTCCATAGTTTTCCAATGTATTGTCATTGGAGATTTTACATCTCCTTACTCTTCCCCTCTCGTGTCATGATATTATATAACATCTTTCACCAAAAATCTCAAAGCAGTATTATTGAATAACTCTGAAACCAACAGGAAATAGGTAAATATTCTATCACTGGTTGCGGAAATGGGGAGGTGGGTATTCTAAGCTCAAACCGAAATCATTACTTACCCAGGCGCCTTCAAACTCTCTCCTTTTGTCTCTGAGTTTTAATATTCTCACCATCTATCCACAGAGCCAAGTGTTATCTCCCCATCTCTATGCCCCCAAGTGCCCCACATCTCATCGGTTGCCAGATCCCTTCTGTTTTACTACCTACTATGTCTAGAATTAGCACCTTTTTTCTATCCCCTCCATCCTGGGCAAGCCCTCTTCACGTCCACACTGTTCCCCCTGCCTCTGCTCTTAGCTCCCTCCAGCACAAACTCCAAGTGCCTCAGGCTGCAGCCCCGCACCCCCTTGCCACCGTGTCTGCATGAACATCCACCCAGCCATCATCCACGCTTTCAACATACATGTTTAGTGAGCCTCTACTATGTGCAAATATACCCGTGGGTGAAAGAACAGGGCGGTGAACAAAACGGAGACTGCTGTCCTTACATGTGTTGCTTCTTACACTGATGCATGTTACTTAAACTTTTATGGAGAAGTTTTATAAATTTACGGAGTCAAATATATTCACTGTTTTCCTTCATGATCTGTGCTGTTTTGTGTGTATTGCTTAAGAAATCTTTCAGTTCTAAACCATCATAAAAATTTCCCATAGCACAATTATGATTAAGAACTCAGGCCTGGAATGCAGCTCCCTGAGTTCAAATCCCGTCTGTGCCACTAAAAGTTGGGCAGTGTGGTTCACTCTTCTGTGCTTCAGTTTGATCACACGTCCAAGTAACAGTACTTACGAGCATTTAACTCACGGGGTCATTTTGAAGATTAAATGAGCTACTACAATTAAATGCATATAGAATTGTGTCTGATAAATAGTAAGTTTATATTATCATAGCGATTATTCTATTTGTTCCTTATGATTCTCTCTCTAACCCATCTGAAGTTTATTTCCATTTATGGTGTAAGTTGGGAATTTTATGTTATGTTTCACATGGAAAACCAATTGTTGCCAAATCCTTGTTTATAATCTTTCAATGGTTTTTCTTCCCTCCTAGAATCACAGGACAATTCCTTATCTTAATCTACTCCCCTGTATGGGATCTGGCCCCGCCTGCTTCTCAGATCTCCCTTGTCACCTCTCTCCACTGCTGGAGCATAGCCACCCTAGCCTCCTCTGTGGTCCTGGAACACACCAGCCTCTTCGTCTCCCCAGGGCCTTTGCACTTGCTATTCTCTTCTTGGAATGTTTTCCTCCCCAAGATTTATATGGCTGCTCCACGTGATTCAGGCTCTCCTGGGCCACCCAGTATGAAAGATATTATTCCTCCCCACCCAACACAAACCAAGGCACTCTCTATTTCAATGCCACTTGGTTTACTTTGTTGCATCTTCTCTATTTTACTCATCACACTTATGATCTGAAATTTGTTTTGATAAATCATTTCTTTTCTTCCCCCATTGGAGGTAAGCTTGCCTGGGACAGAAATCTTGGCCTGTTTTATGTGCTGCTGTATCCTCAGAATCTAGAACAGGGCCCAGGAAACAGTAGGGACTGAATAATTACTTTTCTCCTGTCCCAAACAGGCTTGCTCCTTAGAACGATAATTCTGGTGACAGCACGGAAGGCAGATGGTGGTACCACAGAGATACTGAGGATGGGGCTAGCTGGACAAGGGGAAGAACGGTAGAGAAAAGGTCTGGAGGCCTGGCAGGCTGACCGCATATTGAGTTATTTATACTCGTGTGAGAAGAGCTAGGTGTACCCGGTTTGGAGCCTTGGTGTCAGCTGTGTTCCAGGCCTGGAATAGTCTCTCTGGCTTCTCCTTTTGGTCTCAGCTTAACTGTAACCTGCTCGCAGAGGCCTTTCTGGACTCCTGCATCTAAAGTGGATCTCCAGCGACTCGGGACGGCCAGCTGAGGTATGGAGATACCGATGCCCTGAGAACTTGAACGTGCCTGTCAGTCACTCCAAGGCAGGCACCGAGGCCAGTGGGGGCTGCGCCCCGATGAGGCCCGAGTTAATTCTTCTTCTATCAGTGTTTTTCAGCACCTGCCACATGGTTAAGTGCTCAGTAAATATTTATGAAATGAATGGTTTTTCTGTGGTTTCTTTTGTTTCCCTGTTAACTTGTCTTTCTACTTTGATGTGGCAGTTATTTATTTTTTTTCATTTGGACCCGAGCATCTAAAGCTGTTTGCTTTGAACGACTTGTCTGGTTTCGAAGGCAGCTCTGCCAGGTTGTGAGGCTGTTTATCTCCGTGTCAGATGTTTCTCTTCCTCCCCCCTCTCCCCCAGCTTGGTGGGCTGCTTCTAACTTGGAGGACCTCCCCACCTTGTGACTCTGCCATCGCTTCAGAGATTCACAGGCACAGAGAGGCTTCTGGTTGGGGAAGAGCTCAAGTATACCGTCCTCAGACTTTACAAACACGAGTCCAAGACAGGCTCGTAGGACCACAGATGAGAGACAGCTGTGAGAATTCAAGCCAGATCAAACATGTATTTAGTGCTTGCTGTGTGCAGGAAACGGTGGTGTATGCTATGGGGGGCACTTCAAAGCTAAAGCGGGGCAAATGGGGCAGCTGGGAAAGATACGCTCCAGTCCAGCAGGATCCCATTCTGAGAGGACATCAGGACGGACAGATGGAGAAATCTTGGAGGCAGATGTGATGCCTGGTAGACAGTTGGCTTTGCAGCACCCGCGGTCCAGCCTTGAGATTTTAAGAATCATCTAGGATGACAGCAAATATTCCTTCTGTTCATGAATGGGAGTGGAGAATTCTGAGACCCTAGTTACAGTGAGTCAGACATACTCCAGCCTTTTTTGTTATTCTTAAAAAAACTTCACCGGTCCACCTTTCCACCCCCGTGAACACCATCTGCACCAGGAGCGGTAAGGTCCTGAGTCGTTAAGAAAAAATAGACGCCTAGTGCAGATGCTCAGTACCTCATTGAACCCCCAGGACGAGCTGGTCGGTGGGTTCTACGCTGTCATCCCTCCCTTCTCATGTGCAGACTGGGGCCCAGAGGAGTCCAACAGCTTCCTACAAGTCATCATGGGGATGAGACTCAAACTCAGGCCCTTTTCTGCAGAGTTTGTGACTCCAACCACCACACTCTATCGCCCGGTCATCAGGCACATCCTCCTTCCTGTCACAGTGGTGCGCTGATGGCTGAAATCCCAAGACTCTGGTCATGCACTACAGGCGTCTAAATGAGCATCCTCGACCTTCCTAAACACCAAATGAACTGTGACAAGCTTTTATAGAAAACGGACCTTTATTGCAATTAAAAAAGAACAAAGACAATTTGATAAGTGCCTTTAATTACAATGTACCTGCTATTTACACGTGATTATACTTTTATATACAGCTTGAATAAGGTTCATACATGTAAACTATAAGATATTACAAATGAAAGTCCAGCTTTTTGGGAACATCCACAATAGAAATACTATGGGCAGAAACACACAGAAAACATATCCATTTCACTTCCTCAGGTACGATTACTGGATGAACGATCAAGATCTGGCCACAGAAGAGAATTACAAATATGCGTCAAATTGAAACTTATTCTTAACATGACTAACAGTATTGCCATTATTTAAACCTTAAACACAATAATTGGATCATTAAAGACAATATGACTTAAATTTATATAGCACCTTCCTCCCAGGGTTCAAAGCATTTGTATTTACCTGTCTTATCTCATTTGTCCCCATCACATCCCAATGAGGTAGGCAATGGTTGGTATCATTATCCCCATTTTGTCTATGGAGAAACTGAGGCACAAAGAAGTTAAATCATTTGCTCAGGGTCACACAGTAAAGTCAGTGCTGGAACAGGGACCACAGAGCCGTGAGCTCTCATCTCCCAAACCAATGCTTCTTTGACTAAATTGTCCCCTCTGAGAATTTAATTCAACAGCTCAATTCACTTTTCCAAGAAACAAAAAATGTGCAATTTTTTCTCTCATAAAAATTGTTGAAATACTGATAGGCAAGAAACAAACGCTGTGGGGTGGATGTTAGACTGATGCCACAACTCTTCTAGAAAGAGATTATGGAAGTCTTTTGTTAGCTTTTTTTTTTTTTATCGAGGAGTTTCTTTTCTCGGTTAAAACAAAGTTAGTCTTTAAACAAAATATATTTGAAAGGATGCACCTAGTCACCTACAGATGACAGCATTACTAGCCATATTATGCTATCCACAAACCGGATTTGTTCCTGAGTTTACAAAGGAGAAAATATCTAAACAAGAATTTAAATCTTTGAGATACTCTGTCTCATTTATACACATTTACTGTTTGCTCCCTAAGAGACTCAGAGTGGTAGACAGCGAGTCAGGAAATACATTTTCTGGAGACAGTCGGGGGCAAGGAGTCTGGCCCATGTCACTTAGTTCAAATTTTACTGCTAATCCCTGCTCCCCCCACCCCCCCACCCCTGCCACCCCAGGAATCAAACACAGAGTTGGTACTCAGGAAAAAAGAAAAAATGTCAAAATCGGAGGCATACAAGACCCTCTCAAACGCTTGTTGGCTTGAACATAAAATTCAGCTTTCCTGACATTTTTCGCACACGTCTTTAGCACACGTCTCCCTAAGGGACCAACTCAGCTAACGGTGCTGCCATTTTCCAGGACATCCGCGGGCGCTCACGCAGCAGCCCAGAGGAATTAAGCTTCTACTGGGGCTCCGGGACAAACAAGAGAAGCCTTTATTCAACACATAAATGCAAAAAGAGCAAGCGAATTTCTGCAATGGGTCATGAATATCACGTCAAGTTCATTTATGGGTTTTACATTAAAAATATATAAAAACTGAAAGGAATGCTCAAAATCCTTTACAGGCTCACAGGCTTTTAGTTTTCGTCTCCGGCCAGGGAAGGGCACTGCTGTCGCTCGGGGAAGCCTCTGCTGCCTGAATGGGGAGCTAAAGTTAAAAAAAATTTCTTCTCAAGCTTTAAAAAGGAAAAGGAAAGAGTTTGTTTTAAACTCATGGTTTCCAACTTGCTGAGCTAAAAAACAAACAAAACCAAACCAGACATTATAAGAAGATGGTTCCGAACTGCCATCTCCAGGGGCCGAGACTGGCCTGTTAGCCTTAACTGTCCCCTTAAGGATGTCTAACTGGTGTACGAGGTGGACTTTATACATTTAATGTTTAAAAGAAAACGAGCTGATATCTGTTCTGTTAATTTGGAAAAAAAAAATTACACCCCTGAATATCCATTCAGATAATTAACTATGATGACTAAGAGGAAAGTTTAAAAAATCAAAAGGAAACACATCCTGGGTCCTCAGGTGCTTAGAAAGGCAGACCTGCAGCCACCGATCCCCACTCCCCTGTGTGGGGACCTAAAAGGCCCTTGGTTTCTCATTCCGAATATGAGACAGTTGGCCTGTAAATGGCCAAGTTATCCTCAATATCTGGTACCTCCACGGTTAGATACGTGAACTCTCTGGTTTCCTTGAGACCTGGGACAGTAGGTCAACCCAGTTGTCACAGACATCATTCATAAGCATCATTTTCCGGGGGGAGAGGCTATCATAGCTGCATGGCTGAAAAAGGTTCCATTCAATTTACCTTATGAATGATGAATTCTTACAAGAAAGGGTTTTTTCCCCTCAAAACAATCAGTGTCCTCCTACTCTACAGGTAACTAGTGGTCTGCCATTCCAAGGATTTAGCTTTGCTGGAACTTGAGGAGATGCAAGGCCTTCTCAGTACCTTGTGGGGGACAGTGAGCTCACCCCATCAGAGCATGGGGCTAATTTTTCTGCATTTGGGAGTTTGGGTCCTCAACAAGAGGTTCTTTGCCACGGCCCTTTGGTGCCAACCATTCTCATGAAAGATCTGGGCAAAAGTGTTTTAGCAGAGCTCGTGACAGACAACACTCAGCATCTGCTTCCCCAGGTGGGTCTGTGGCCTTCTCTCCGTGGCCCGTGACGCAGGCAAGTGCGAGCGGGGAGCACTGCCGGCTCACCTCGCGTGGTGGGGAGCAGTTCTCTGCGGCGTCTGTGCCGCTGAGGATTGTGATGGGATTGAGAAAGACGTGGTGGGACGTGCTGCGGAAAGCAGAAACAGCAGAGCTGGGTGCGGGAGAGGCTTGCGGTGGTGCTCTGCAAAGCGACACAGGGGCATCTGCGCAGGAGGAGCGAAAGCAGGGCTGGAAGAAATAGTGGCCTCATGTCCCCATTCTTTAGACTCACTCCTTTAAAGGACGAGAGTCAGGGAGGCGAAAAACTCTAAGATGTTGAAGCCAGTAAGAGATATTTTTGGACTTAAACTTTAAAAATTCCCAATATTGAAAACCAACTTTCTCTCTCTTTTGTGACTTGAACATTTTGACCATTACAAAGACCTTTGGGGATGAGTGAAAATGCTGCTAAGCGTCATGAATTATTTTTGAGTGTTTTTGAGTATTTTCGAGTTAAGTATCCTGAGACTGATCAGGATCGCCTAACAGACAACACGTCACTTTTTTTTGGAAACTATTTTTATGAGGGAAAAAATGCATGAACAATGAAATGCAAATTCCTATCTGTTTACCTATTTTCATGTTTCCCCTGAAAACATGAGGCATGTTAATACAACACAACTATTTGAAAGGTAACAACATGAAAACATTTTACTGTTGTTAATTTAACATACAGGCATCTGAGGAATGACAATTACCAGCCTTTATAATCCATTATGCAAGGTGACTGAGATAAAAACCAAGCAGAAGACATTTAAAAAAAAATCCATAGTATATAAATGGGGAGCAAAGAAAAATCTAATCTAACTGTATTAAGATAAATGATTACCAAATTGAATGCTTTAAAAAAACTGCCTTCACAACAAAAATTGTATTTCTCGTTTCATCTGACATTAAGAGGAATATGAACTACTATTTCTTAAATAAAATAAGAACCTGGAAAAACAATGAATTACTTTGTAAATATTAGAGAGTGGATGTAAAGACAGACTTCAAAATGAGCAGTAGGAAAAACAAAACCCACTTATGAATATTTGTTCTCTTCCCGACCACAATTTTTTAAATTTACTTTGGTAATTCCGGACGAAGACTCTAATTCATCATGGTTTCTGGACTAATCTCTTTAAGTCAAACACTTTCTAAGTGTGTTCGACTTATCTAATGCCGCTGTCAAGAATAATGTATTTAAGAAAGGGTGCAACGCAGAGCAAAAAACTACTACTAGAAGGACAAGAAATTTAGAATTCACTGCAAAAAAAGCCATATTTGATATTCTTAGACACATGTTCCTATTTTTCACAGCAGTTACTTATTAATACCAACACTACACTTGAACTTTCCCAATTACACAGTACAATAAGCCTGTCAAGATTTCCAGGAAATAGCCATCAGTACCTACTGTGCTTCTAGCTGCCAAAGCTGGGTTGGCCGGGTACCAGAATCAATACTTTCAGAAGAATGGCATCCTCAGATCACACGGACTCAGAGAAACCATCACAAGGAGCACTGAAGAAAATGCCATCGCTCATTTACAACATCCTACTTCAGTCTTGAACGGAAGCTTTCTGACTACAGCCATGTCATCATCTCAGAGCCGCTGGTTTGCACATCACACTACTCCACTGCCTGTCGAGTCTGTGGGAAAACCTCGCGGTTCCCAAAGAGAGTGAAATAAAATGCCACCACGTGACACTGGGCCTCTGCTTCTGCTGCCTGGTGGGGGTCACCTTGCTGTGGCTCCATCTTGGCTCACGTGGCTCTTGAGCTTTTGGACAAATCTCTTCTCGAACACCTATCTGAGAAGGACACCTGGGTACCTTTTCCCCTGTCAGGTTGAAGACGCAGTGAGCCACATGGATAAGAAAACTATTTTAAAATACCACTCTTTTTCAGCTAAGAAAATTATGGACATAATTTAAAAGTATGAATGTATTAATTAGAAAAATTAAATGAGGGCAACTTAAGAAGGTTTTCCTGCAATTACCAAATGAAAACTATTGGAGAACTGTTGCTTCTACTCTGCTTTTATGAAAATAGTCATCACACCAGTAGGATAAACATTCAAAATACGTAATAGGATGGATCCTCATTAATTAAGCACCAGAACAACTTTATAGATATCCACATGTACATATGTATGTGTATATATATCACACATATACATAATATTATATATAGATCTCATATATATAATATTATATATATAGTTTGTTACTGGTTAAAGTAAGTAAATGCTCTAATTAGAAAAATGAAAATCAAATATGAGAAATAGATACAGTGACACACTGAGGTTAGATTTTAGTTCTTTGTGTTGACTACCTATTGCTAATTTAGCACTCAATTAGAATTAACTTTTAGATTTTGAGGGCAGATAAATCAGTAATGGGATTTTTTCCCACAAAGGAGAGTGGTACTTTTAAAAGCTTTAATAGACTTGATGTAATTCAGTGCAGGACAGGAAAAAAATATACGTGGCCAACATATTTGCATAAATAACTTTCTTCTAGAATTTAAAATTTCCTCAAACATTTCATATAAAACAGGTTATACTTTCCTGCTGACTATATTTGAGAAATAATACAAGTAGGATAAAAAACTTTTCTAAACTTTCAAAACATCTGAATAAAAACAAAGATCCTACTTTTAGGCAAGATGTTTAGAATTCTGATTTATAAGACAAAAAAGTTTTCTTAGAACTTTACCTTTTTGTATCATTTCACATAATCTAGGTTATTATAATTGAATCATGATATGGATGTCAAAGTTGAATTTTAAAGATACAGTAAATTCTTTTTTCTGATAATTATCTTTCATACATTTAAACTGTGTAGCATTTAGCTCAAGATGAAACTTTTTAAAAGAAGCCATAGGGTTTTGTCCAACTCAAAGATTCCAGCACAGATTTTCAAAGAACGAAGTACATGCGATGACATTTATGAAATGCTGTATGATGAGGTCAAAACAGTGACGATACATCAGCAAACACATTTGAGTAAAGTACCCGATGGTCTAAGGAGCAGAGCCGCCTCCTGGAGTTCACCCCGACTCTCTTGCCCCAGCCCTCCTGGACCATGCTATCACTTACTCTTTCAGGATTTGTCCTGGAGGGCCTTACGGTTCCTTTTAAAGTACACTAATAACACTTTATAGCACAACTTATTCTTAGCATGGGTTCTCAAATCAAGAGAGCTATTTCAGTGCATATTTTATGGCTATATTGCACAGCCTTTATTTCAAAACTTCTGGGGGAAATTCTGATAATGAAATTTCAAGATGATACAACTATTTATAAGGAGCTTCTCTCTCTAGAAATGGTTTTAGACTTCAGAGATCATACTCACTTCCCTGGCAATAAGTAAGACATTAAAAGAAATAGAATAAAACTTCTGAGTAGGCAGGTGCCCATAGAGGACGTTACCGCAGTACGCAGAACGCCAGGTGTGCAACGTGACATGGCTATCACCATGTACTAGAGGAATCCCATGACGTCAAATTCATTAACAGTCAGCAATGAAATCACCAGGCAAAATGGCGCTTATGAAGGATGTGAATTCAGAGAGCGAGGGCCTCCCATTTTCCTGATAAACTTCTCCCTAATTCAAGGGTATTCTAATCAATGATGTTGTGCTTTCTAAGTGTGTTCAACTTGTTCAACTTGAAGCCTTCATGGGAGACACCAGGCTGATTGAAAAATAATGGCGGCCAACCACTTTGACCCAACACAGCTCACCTTACAATTTCAGAAACATGTCACAGAGCAGTCACAACACTGAACTCTGAACGCAAGGGATGGAAAAAACATGCCATTGAGCTGGTCCCTACAAATTTCAGGAGGCTTCATTCTGCCGACTGCATTCTTAGTCATAACGAGTGAAAACAGCAAGATTATTCAATCTGAAAAGTCACAGATGTCACAGTGGTATGGAATAATTGCCTCTTATTTTCCTTTATCAGTGTAGGACAAGCTCCCTTTCTGTAGCCTACACCATATAATAGCACTTCAGCCAGGTTCCCTTTAAAATGAAAAGTGAACAGGTTTCCCAATGTTGGCTTTATAAGATCTAAAGAGATGATTAAATTCAGACCAGGCTGAGCTCTTAATCAGAGTTATTTCAGCCACTGATTTTTGTAAAATGGAGGAAAAAAAAATCTCAATAGGCAATTTGCATTTGCAAGCACTGGATTTCAGAATTCATCACTGTTTTCTTTAAAATGTGACTAAACCTTAATGGAATTATAATACTTTCATGAGGTTAATAATTCAGTCAGCCCTAGTCATATTTTGTTCTTCTTTCCATTTTGACCATTTCAAATATTTTAATATCGCCCACCACAAACCACTGAAAATGATCATTTCTGGTTATTCTACTTATTTCTCCAGTGAGCCAGATGATTTTGACCGGGAGCTCCAAGTACCATTTGAAAAGTTGAGTCTTTAAAAACCTTCAATGTTTTAAACACTTGGTTAGAAAAAAAATTAACAACTACTTGTAAATATCTACTTTATGTGCTTTATGGTGTCTTTTCAAAATGAGAGTATAAATCATTGTACATAAAATCAAAATAGTTAATATACATTTTTTCCGGCACTTTCTAGAAATTAGGTCTTAAACATAAAACATCTTATAAATTTATATAACAAAAATAAATGTTTATATTTTAATTGTAGATAGATTACCTTAGGGTGGCAGTTCACTTACGAAATCCCACACTGTTGGTGTGGCAGCAGAGATGATCAGAAACACACATTCAAGTCCACAGCCCTTCAGAGATGGACGTGATGGCTGCCATCCAAATGTGTGGTCTGTGTGCCAACACAGAGATTAAGGCTCTCTGTTTCGGAGGAATGAGCTCTGGGTTAAAACAAGCATAGAAGTACCACAATACTCATTGAAAATACTGAAAAGGCTCTGAAGAGTTTCAAATACTGGGGAAAAAAAACCTTTTTGGCTAGAAAAATAAAACAAAACATCTAGAAATGACTTCAAGTCCTTTGGGAGAGGCTGCTGACGTGGAGTGCCAAAATCAGAAGGACTGAAGACCTAAGAAACTCAAGGGCCGTCCCCAATCCTATCCAGGGTTCCGATGCCTGGTTGCAGCTCCTTGAAGAGGACTGGCGAGCTGACGGGAACCAGCAACCACAGTTTCTTACCGTCTTGAAACACCTACGTCGACAGCAATGACCAAGCCTTATGGGAGAATTTCCTTGGAATGAACCATTAGGAACTGGAAGATTTCAAAGGGAAAAAAGCCATACCTATTAACATTAGTAGCAGAAAGGGAAGAAAGGAAGAAAATCCTGGCTCTTCGGAATGGCAGTATTTTAGGCAGGTGGAGGTGTGGTTCTTGATGAGTAGATCTCTTCCTTACATCTTGGCTTTCCTCACCAACAGGACGAACCCACTGACAGCTGGGAGCTTTCCAGAGGGCGGGGTGCACGAGGGAGATGTGCTTGGGTGTGCCAGTGCCCCCACCAGGCAGGGGCAACACTTGCGTGCAGGCAGGTGTGTACCGCAGTGTTTCTGAAGCTGGGAAACAGTCACCAAATCTTCAGTTCAGTTGTCTTCAGTTTACTAAAGCAGCATATAAAGTGTAGGCTGATGTCGCTTCTTAGCTTCCACAGAAGAAATGTCCCCAACGGGCTGGTCATGTGATATCTGGGGCTGTCTTCTGCGTTCCTAGAGCCTGGTGATATCTCTGCCCTGCTGTAGGTCGCCAATGCTCTCGTAGTCATTCTCCTTTGGGAAACGACCAGGGTGGCCATTGGGCTCCAGGTTGGCCTTTTCCTCTTCTCTGTTTAGAGTCTGTATTGCTTCGTAGTCAGGTTCAGGCTCCTCGCCGGGTCTCCCCGCCGGTGGAAGCGTACTGATGCTGTTGGGAGTTTTCTCAAAGTCTTTCACAGTAGCATAGAGATCATTGCAGGAAGAGGGCGACCTCTGAGCAGCTCCTTGGATGGAGGTGTACGTGGACTCTGGCGCTTTAAGCAACTGTCCTGATTTATTCCCTGACTGTCCAGGTTTATTTACTGATGAATACATAGCCGAGATCTAGAAAACAAAGGATGAACTGGATAAACAAGCTTCAAGCCCGACTTCTCTCTCTCCCTTTTTAGTGACAAGCTAGATACTTAGCACTATGGGAATGTGTCCTTTTAAGATTTGTTCTTTATTTTTGCTGATTTTTTTCCTGTTTTTGTTCGGATATAAGTGACATATACCATATGTAAGTTTAAGGTGTACAACATGATGATTTGGTACACATATATCTTGTGAAATGATTACCCCACGGTTAGTTAACATGTCCATTATCATAATTATCATTTCTTTGTGATGAGAACATTTAAGATCTACTCTCTTAACTTTCAAGTTTAATAGTACGATATTGTCAATTATGGTCACCATGTTGTACACTAGATTCCAAGAATTTACTCATCTTATTGCTGCCAGTTTATACCCTTTGATCAACATCTCATTTCCCCCACCCCCAGCCCCTGGGAACCACCATTCTACTCTCTATTTCTGTGAGTTCAGCCCTTTTAGATTCCACATAAGTGTGAGAACATACGTCTCTTTCTCTGCCTGACTTACTTAGCACAATGCTCTCAAGGTCCATTCATGTTGTCACAAAAGGCAGGATTTCCTTCTTTTTTATGGCTGAATAATATTCCATTGTGTGTATATCTACATATGTGTGTGTGTGTGTGTATATATATATATATATATATATATATATATATATATATATGTGTGTGTGTGCATATATGAATCATTTGTCCATATATCTCTCTCACATTTTCTTTATCCATTCATCCATTGATGGACAGCTAGGTTGTTCCCATGTCCTGGCTATTGTGAATAATGCTGCAATGAATATGGGGGTAAAGATCTCTCTTCAAGATAGTGATTTCATTTCCTCCAGATATATACCTAAAAAAGTGAGTTCCTTTTTTTTTCCCTGCTTTTTCTCCCCAAATCCCCCAATACATAGTTGTATATTTTAGTTGTGGGTCCTTCTAGTTGTGGTATGTGGGACGCCACCTCAACGTGGCCTAACGAGTGGTGCCATGTCCATGCCCAGGATCTGAACCAGCGAAACCCTGGGCCGCTGAAGCAGAGCGTGCAAACTTAACCACTCGGCCACGGGGCTGCCCCCGGGTTCTTTATTATCTATATGAATCCTGGAGTACATTAGTAAAGAATAATTATATATATTATCTCCAACTTTGTAAGTAGACCAGTCATATTAGCAGAATTCCATGAAAGGTTCTCTCCAGGTCTGCTGAGGGGAATGGGGAGAGCAGGTGAGAGGGCAGCTCGAGAGGCCCCCAGGACCCGCCCACAGCATCATGTCTTATTTTGTTTCAATCTCAGAATGACATTTCACCTGAAAAGGGGCTCTGCTCTACTGCTTTATCAAAAAGGGAAGAAAACATGTATGAGATGAAATGATTCTCAAAATGTGGGCTTCGAACCAGCAGCAGCAGGATCTAGGAATTTATTAGAAAGGCAAATTCTCGGGCCCGCCCCAGAACCGCTGAATCAGAAACTCGGGGCCGGGGCCCTGCACTCTGCAGCTTCTGACATCCACCTCAGGGCGAGGACCACTGAATTAGACTGATCCACTCTTCCTGCATCACAGTGGTCTCAAGAGTAGTTCCTGGATCCTAGTTGGCAGTAAACATATATGTGTAAAAGCATCATTTTCCATTAATGCTTGACTTCATTGCATACTATTGGTCAAAAAGACATTTACAGAATGGGCTAAGTTTTCTTCAGTGGGAAAATTCAGTCTTATTTGCAAGCAGGAAACTCAGCAATGAAATTAGGAGACAATCAACTTACGCTCTTCCTACGCACACCTATTTTCCACGCACACCTGCTGAGTGTCCCTAATAGATAACGTATCATCTCTAATGTCAAGAGGGATGAATTTTCTTTGGTAATGAGAGATTAAATCTACTGATTAAGAGATTCTTTGGGGCTATTATTTTATTGTTAGAAATCATGGTTGGAAATTAGTAAAAATAGCCTTCATTACTTGTACTTATCTTGGCCACAGTGATCGATTCATTCAAACACCCGGGAAATAAATGAACATGCTTCCTGACAGATGCTTGGTTTTCAAGTGCAGAGGGAGATTTTCCTGCTTTCCCCGCTCCCACATACTGTGGACGAAGTTTCCAGCTGGCCTCAGAGGCTTCTTAAGACAGGCCTCTACATGGAAACTGGCCATCTGCATGAGAACTTTTCACTATGGTGGCTCCATTTTGCCAGGCCTCGACAAGCCAAAGGCTCAGAGTCAGGGAAATAATCTTTAGGAAACTCTTGCCATGTTGCTCTGACCTTTCTAAAGAATATTGAATTAACATTCTCACCTTCGAGGTTTTAGTGGAAAAATTACTCTTAAAGTGAAGAATTATAATTATTTGAATTTAGGAAGAATGAGGAAATCTGCTTTTGATAGTGAAGTGTGAATATATGGAACTTATTACCCCAACGGTGGTCCAAGCCAAAAATGTGGACAGATTATAAAGGGGTAAATCATGGAGGTCACTGACAAAGGAAACCAGCATTCTAGATATCGATGCCTCTCCTTCAAGGGCAACTTCAAGGACAAACACATTTCCCTAGATTATAATAATGAGAATTGGCCCCTCACCAGTTTCTGTTTCTCTCCTCAACTTTCTTCCCCATGGCCTCTGCCAGTAACGGCCCCCCACTTTTTGTAAGTACTGGGGTCTTCTTGGCCTTTATACTATTTTTTGAACTACAGGCTCTTTCATTAACTTGCAAGTTAATATTGTCTGGGCATGAACCTAATGTGCAGAGGGTGTCATTGTAAATCTTAGCTCCAATCCAAGTTTCTCAAGACTTCTGAGATTCCTTCTGAATATCTGCCTTCTACAGCTATCGCTCTTATTTTGTATACAGCTTTCTCTTCAAGCCCCTTTGCCATTTAGCTTTTCAATTTTTCTCTTTAAAATCTTTCATCTTCATTATTTGGTCTGTACATCGTTATTACGTTCTCATAAATTATTTTCTTCCTTTTTTCTACTTTTCTTTTTATAATCAACCCTTTCCCCATCACTCTGTCAATGTGGGGTCAGAGTCCTTAGAACTCAGGTCTCCGTCTCAGTTTCGACTGTCTAACCTTCTACTACATGAATACAAAAATAAATGATTTCCATGTTTCTTTTTCCCAAATCTTCTTCCTAAAATGGATATATGTGAATCATGGTTCTTTATTCTATGTAAAAAATTCATCAGTATAACTAGGTCCAATTTTCAAAAACCACAAATGTATGATTAAAAAGAAAAGGAATTCAAAATTGTACATAGTCTTGATTTATTTTAAAGGATTAGTTTTCAGGTCTCTTATCTATCTTACTTTCTTGTCCCGGATGGGAAGGCTCTGGTACGGTGTGGAACACAGACTAGAGGAGGTCAAAGGAGCTGCCCCAGGCCCCGGGGCGCGGCCACTGCCCCAGTCTAGTGAGGGGCGGCCACATTGGAGACAGGAGGGGTGCGTGCAAGAGAGCATTTGGAGGTGGACTTGAGGGGCCTTGGCTGCTGACTGGGTCTAAGGACAGTGAGGAAAATGGGGTGTCAAGGATGACCCCCAGCATTTTGGCTTGTGCAACCAGGCAGATAGACAGTAGGTCCATTTCCTGGGGTAGGAAACAGACGGGCTAGGAAACATCCCCTAAGAAAAGCCCTTCTGCTCCTGGAACTTTCAATGTGGGATTGTGGTCTCTCTTCATATTTTAATAGTCTACTCAGAGTTCTCTATAGGAGGAGCTGTACCTGCATGTGTACATTGTTTCTGTGCATGTACAAAATTCACTCTGCTAGGAATTCCAAACAGAAGCTATAAGCAGCTGGACAAATTAAGGTGCACAGCTCTCTGTCTGAGCCTCGCTTGACACAATAACATATACACTGGCTTTCACCATCGTAACGCTTCACTGAAAGTTTAGCCAGTGAACTTTTTGCCCTGGTGCTTAGGAGAATATTCAATCCTTTCTTGTTGGCTGCTACGTCTGCCAGAGCTCGAGCCTGGAATTGTTCTTCCTGGAGTTACCTGCTCTCTGCCTCCCAAATCCCTCACTGAGACCTTCTCCCTCTGTCTCCCAGATGGGATCAACTTCTCGACACACACCTGTTCCAATTTCCTGTATTTTCCAACCCCCTCTGAGTTTCCTTCTAACGTGGACTTCCTGACTGCTGACTACATCTCCTGTCCTTAATTCCTCTTTCCCATTGCTATCTTCTCCCCGCTCCTTTCTATTCTTTCTGATCCTTCTTTCCTACTTAGTTTCCTTTTCTTGGCTGACCTGTCTCCCTTCTTGTCTCACCATCTGCTGGTCACTCTCTGAGCCATTATAAAGCCAACATCTCCAGCTCTGCTCTCTAAACTTATGTTGAAGAGAGCCCTTCAGCTTTTACAGACAAAGGGCAACATGACCGTGAGTTTATTCCAGGAGAGAAGGTCTCTTCTTTATGACAGGGGCTTTCTGGTTATTTACAAAGCAACAAAACTTACCTCTTCTTCTGTGAGAGTGGGGTCTTCTTCCCGGGACTTGTACGACAAGCAGCTAAATCTCTGTTAGAACAAACACAAACCAAGGGAGAGTAGTTGAAGTCAATAAGCCAACCCAAAGAATCCTTTCTTTTGCACGTTTGGATTATTTAGACTATGGTTTCAATTCCTAATTGTCACTGAAGGATTGATTATCAATCAAGGAGTGATAATAGAAAAAAATGATGTTTCTTTATCAAATGCCCGAAATGTAAATTTCTACAGTTTGCATGAGTCATCAGGAAGATTCTTAAGTCATCTGGAGACTTTTCACAGCTAACGGAGAAATCAGCTCACATTCTGTGGCTTGCTTCCTGTGGAATACCCAAACTTAAGCGTTACAGGCTATTGTTTAGAAATTGTCACAAAATAAAACCTCTTATTTGATTTATATAAAGGTATATATATAACCAGACACAACCAGAGGCACCCATGAGTCGGTTCCCTCCATGCGTGTTCCTGTGCTTTGATTTCTGGGATCCTGGCAGGGAACATACCTCCACGCTGCGGAGGGAGCAACAAGCAGAAGAGGCTAAATGTGTGACAAAGCGTCTAGTCTCTCTATTTAATTCTTGGTCTTCAAAATGAAGGAAATAACACTTGGCCCCAATTAGACATGACGTCAAAACTGGAAAGAATCCAAGTAAGGTGCCAAGAGGGAAATCTTTTGTCAACATGAGTTTTCAGTATTTTATTACTTGGAGGGGGAAAAAAGTCAAACGCAGCTTACACTAAAACAGCTTTCATCGTTCAACGACCTTGAAAGTGTTTCGAGATATTTCCCAGAACAATGAGCAATAAAAGCCCCAGGATTAGCTAGATTCCCACACGTGTGAAAAGCACATGAAACAAACACGCTGGAGCCCACCTTGCTGGTTTCACTGGTCCCGTCCATGGCTCTTTCTTCTCCTGCCTTTCTCTCTTCCTTCTGAAGGTTTTCATTTTCATCCAGGAGTTTGACAGGTACAGGCGGTGGGGCCTCCTCTTCTGGATCACATGCATTTCCAAGAATACTCTCTGCATTCACACTCTGTCGACACTTCTTGTTTCTGTCCACCGAGGCGTATTCAGCAAAGTCCGCTTTGCCATCGATCTGGGGCCCTGGAAGCTCTTTCAAAGCGGAAGTTGACTTGGACCTGTTGCTGTGGCCTTTACCCGGGTTTGCGGCGGCGGCCACCTCCTTAATTTCTTTCACCGTTTCATACAAACAGTCCTCCACCATGTTTTCTTGGGAGGAACTATCCTTGAGCACTTCATACGGTCCTTCCATCCCGAGAGCCTGGTCCCCGTCCACACCTCTCTCATTGAGCATCGTGTCCACCGCGCTATCCGGAGGAATTCTGGGCAGTTCCCGGCTCTGATGACATTTTGGTTTGCCTGTGCTGTCCTGGGAGTCCAAGAGATCCGAAGCCGAGGTCTGGACTTCCTCGTAATGTTGCATGCAGGTCAAAGTACTGTCTTCTGAAAGAACTAACGTGGCAGAAGCATTAAAAGTGGAGAAAGACCATTCCTTAAATAACTATTCGTGAATCAGATCATGAAAAGTGAAGTTAAGTCAAGGTGCTTGCTTTTTATTCGACTCTTGCCTGCAAATTATAGATGTGATGACTGCTAGCTGATATTATTTCAATCACAGCTTAGGCTAAAGCCACGCATTACATCTTTCCAACACAATATTTCATACACCGTCTTGGCTATATATCTAGTTCACTGCTTGTTGTTACTCTCGAGGGGACTCCTGTAGGCAGAGGATCCAACTTGACCAGGGCATGAAAGCAACATTCCATGGGGCCAAACTGGGGGGGACTGGACCCCAAAAAGGGGGGCATGTGTGCTGGCCACTCTCCCCGACTCTACCAGCCTCCTCCAGTTTGGAGGGATGGTGGGTAGCCAACCCTTTCACAGGTCACTTTTGTTGGGCAGACGTGATAGAAACAATGGGGCAAAAGTGTACCCTAAGGCCATTATCCCATAGGGACCGCACGCCCCATGCCTCTTTAAGGTCTTCCTTCCATCTCGCTGCCCCACCCTAACGTTTCTACTCAAATTAGAAAATTCCAAGGGGAAATTCTTGGATCACCACAGAAATGTCACCACATGGAGCTGCTCAGTCATGCCTTACCAAATGTTTTTTCAGGAACTACTACATGCCAGGAATGGTTGAGGTGCTGGAGACACAGCATGCAACCAGGGTCCTGTCCTTCCGCTACTGACACTGTAGTGAGCAAGTTACTAAATTACCGTGTCTCCACTACATAAAGAATATATAATATATACACTATACTATAGATTGCTTATATATAAGTATAAAAAGCATAAGTATACATAAGTGTAAATATATACTTAAACATATATTTATACCGATATCTTCATATATATTTATTGTATATACTCTTTATATAATATATATTCCTTATATATTAAATATAATCTTTATATATATGTGCATGTGGGTATTTATGACTTATGACTTTTTTTTTTTTTTTTAAAGATTTTATTTTTTCCTTTTTCTCCCCAAAGCCCCCCGGTACATAGTTGTGTATTCTTCGTTGTGGGTTCTTCTAGTTGTGGCATGTGGGACGCTGCCTCAGCGTGGTCTGATGAGCAGTGCCATGTCCGCGCCCAGGATTCGAACTAACGAAACACTGGGCCGCCTGCAGCAGAGCGCGTGAACTTAACCACTCGGCCACGGGGCCAGCCCCATGACTTATGACCTTTTAACCCACTTGCTTTTACTGACCAGTCTGGGATTCTCTGAGACCCCTGGAGCCCAGAACAGTGTCTACCACACGGTGGGCACCACTGTGTTTTTGCTTGAAAAACTAAATGAGTGAATGAATAATAAAGTGCTCACCTCTTGTCCTGCCCTGCTATAAAGGCTGTTGCTCTTTGCGGGGATTAGAAATAGCATCCCTAAGGAGTAACTGGGGAACGTGACAAGGAAGCCCTGAACCCTCTGAACCTAATAGCATCACCCCCCTGTGTTCTAGATACTTGAATTGCAGGACGAGGTCAACTTTTGCCCTGTGGTTCCAGACGTCTGAGGCACGGAGGACAGAGAACCGGCCCTGGAGCGTGAAGACTCTGGTGTCAATACTGACTGTCCCACAGGTTCCTTGTCAGCAAATAGGGTAACAGGACCATCTCCCACCTCAGGGAAAAGTGCTCTGGAAACTGGAAGTGCAGCTAGGACTTTCCTCAGCGAGAGCATCCTGGGCGTGAAACAGGCAGTGTGCAGAGCGACGCCTATCGAGGGTGTGCCAGCGACTCAGACTGCCGCCTTCACATTACCGACCCTCTGCATGCTGACCGTATGATCTCAGGCAGATTATACCCTCCCTACGGCAGGCACACAAGGCCCCCCAAAGACGTCCACAGCCTATCCCTGGAACCTGTGAGGAGGCTTTGTTACAGGGCAATGGGGGAATGAAGGCTACAGATGGAGCTATCAGCTGACCTTCAGCTGAGGGGAATAGCCTGGCCTATCCAGGTGAGTCCAGTGTAACTATGAGGGTCCTTAAAGGGAAAGAGGGGCAGGAGAGTCGGAGAGGGACCTGAAGACGGAGGGGAAGGCCAGCAGTCAAGGACGGCAGGTGGCTGCTCGACGCTGAAGCAGGCAAGGAAGTCAGTTCTCCCCGAGAGCCTTGGGGAAGAAAGCAGCCCCACTGATCCTATGATTTTAGCCCAGGGAGACCTCTTCAGACCCTGACCTCCAGAGCGGGAGATTAAGAAAACCGAGGTTGTGGTGATTTGTTGCAGTGGCAACGGGCTGCAGTTGCCTCACCTCCTATAAATCGTGGATAGTGATGATACCTGTCTTACAGGGTAGTAATGATTCCTCTCTTACAGGGAAGCAATGATACCTATCTTACAGGGTAGTAATGATTCCTATCTTACAAGGTAGTAATAATACTTATCTTACAGGGTAGCAATGATTTGTATCTTACAGGGTAGTAATGATTCCTATATTACAGGATAGCAATGATATCTATCTTACAGGATAGCAATAATACCTATCTTACAGGATAGTAATGATTCCTATCTTACAGAGTAGTAATGATTCCTATCTTACAGGGTAGTAATGATTCCTATCTTACAGGGTAGTAATGATTCCTATCTTATAGGGTAGTAATGATTCCTATCTTACAGGGCAGTAATAATACTCATTCGACAGGATAGCAATGATACCTATTTTACAGGATAGTAATAATGCCTATCTTACAGGATAGTAATAATACCTATCTTACAGGGTAGTAATGATATCTATCTTACAGGGTAGCAATAATACCTATCTTACAGGGTAGTAATGATATCTATCTTACAGGGTAGCAATGATACCTATCTTACACAGTAGCAATGATAATTACCTATTGGGTACCAAGGACTCCTATAGTACAGGGTACTAATAGTATTACTATTAATAATAGTAATTTTATAGGGTAGTCATTAGCATAAACGAGTTAGTACACACACAAACCTTAGAACAATGGCACACAGAAGCCAATTAACAAATACTAGCTTTTCATCCAAATGAGATCAATTTTGCCAAAACTGGTAGTAATACTAAAAGTGAGCAAGAACACATTTCCTACTTTTTTGAGCTACATGGTTTGAAACCTAGTCCTTTCTTAGCTGTGAGGCCTGCGTGGAAAGCTGGTGTTTGCAGAACTTACTGTCACCATTGGTGAGAGCCCCGTTCTGTTCGCTGCTGGCGAGCGCGTCCGTGGCCAGGCTAGTAACTGAGCGGCTGAACATCTCCTTGTCCGAAGGCTGCCAAAACAAACGCACGGCACTAAGAATCAGCCTGCAGAGCAGAGGGAACTGTCCACAGCTTTCTCGAAAGATTAAAACAGCAACAACCAAAACCTGAATCCACGACTTAAATTTAAATCGAGTGAAGGTAAATCAAACCGAGTTCCTCAGTTGTCCTAGCCACATTTCAAGCACTCCACAGCCACATGTGGCCAGTGGTTACCGCATCAGGGAGTTGAGATACAAAACACTTCCATCGTGGTGGACGGTCCTACTGGACAGGACTGGCCTAGGGTCTCAAGGGCACTGGGGATCTTTTGAGGCCACCTGCAGAGGTTCCCACCTGATGATCACAAACGGGCTACAGGGAGGTCGTGGGGTATCAGTCCCCTGAGCTCCAGGAGGAGGGGACCCGGAGCCCAGTGCTGTGCCAAACTGACTCTAGCAGCAGCAGCCTTCTTGGACCACAGGTGCTGCAAAAGGTTATTCTTTCTAAAGGTGTGCCACGCCATGAAAACAGGGGAAAGCACCAGCCTTTGTCATCTGAAGGGAAGACACTTACATCAGGTCAAAGATAGTGGTAGAAGTCAATGACATTATCTATTTCACAACCAGCCAAGTCTCTGCTTCAAGGTTCACAAACAGTCATCAGCTAAAAAGTAGATTTGCAAAGACTCCTTATTCTCACAAACACATTTGGGACCCTTGGAGGGAAGAGTGGCATTGATTGTTTCTTTTCTACTGGGCTGGCATCTGTAGATATTACCTGGAATAATACACCAGGCTGAGCTATAGCTAGGAGTCGTCAGAAAGTAAGCTGGTAGTTCATGGATTTCTTTAAGTACCTGACTGGTCCCACGTAGCAGCCTGAATCATTGCTCATATGATCCGCTCCCCCACCCTTCTCATGAATGCATGGCCTGCGTGACCCAGGAGGCCACACCCAGACTAAGCTCCAGGACACCCCTCTATACTCTTCTAGCATCGCTGTAGGGCTCAGGCAGGACCTTGATGAGGTTGTCCTGTGACTGTGAGGGGGGACCCATCCCTGGCTGCTGGCCCCATGAGAGACTGAGGGCCGTGGAAAAGCCGGCAAGGCCAGGCTATCCCTAGGCGGTTGGGGGTCCCAGGCTCTGGTGAGCTTAAGGACCAGCTGTTACGGTTGAACTATGGCCTCCCCAAATTCCTCTTGAACCCCTAAGCCCTCATACCTTAGAATGTGACCTTATTTGGAAACAGGGCCGATGCAGATGAAACTAGTCAAGATGAGGTCATACTAGAGTCCTTACAAAAAGGGGAAACGTGGACAGAGACAGACACCCACATGGAGGGATGACCACATGAAGAGACTCGGCGAGAACACCACGTGACCATGAAGGCAGAGATCTGCAAACCAAGGAACGCCCCCGACTGCCAGCCAGCAGGCCGCCCGAAGCTGGAAGGCAGGCCGGAACAGGCTGACCACAGAGCCCTCGGAAGGAACCAACCCTCAGACACCCCGATCTTGGATTTGCAGAACCGAGAGACAATAAATCTGTAATCTAAGCCGCTCAGTCTGTGGTCCTTTGTTATGACAGCACTAGCAAACCGATATACTGGCTGGAGCTGGGCCGAGGCAAAGAAGAAACATCCCTGCCGTAGGTCGGAGCTATCAAAGGATGCTTTTGGCAGCTGCACAACTGCATCCGTTTCAGGGACTCTCCCAAGAACCTGGCCACCTGCACAGGCCTGTACCCACAGTGAACATTCACGGCAGGAGGAGGACACAGCCCAGGCGGCCAGCGAGCTCCGGCTGAGTTCTTTCCCTCCGTGTCCTTCAGGTTGTGAGCATGTGGGAACATGCTCAGATAAGTGGCCGATATTTTAAAACACAGACACACACACATGCACACACACACAGACACACACACACACACACAGGCTCACCACGTTCATCAGGTTCTCGTGGTCCCCGCTGTGCTGTCTCGGCTTCTTTTCTCTGAAATGGCAGATAAAACATCACTGCAATATCCAACATGCCACCTAAAATTAAACACACAGCCCATTTCCTATCCTAATTTTTATCACCACTTAAATCTCTTTTAAGGACCAAGTTTATTTTGCCAAGGAAGCAGAAGCCGGCCCGTTACTGGCAGGCAGTAGGGTCTGAGGCGGAGTCATAGCATGGGACAGTCTCCTCTCCTGCTCTCTCCTTCCTCCAGGAGTAGCAAATACACGTTCCCAGCAAGAGGACCGAGGCAGGTCCCTGAGTTGAAACTGTTCTAGAATACTGGAATGAATTATCGAATTATGCTTTTTTTTTTTTTAAAGGAAATCTAGACAATTCTCATCTAATTTTTCTTAATTCAGAGTCTTTGCAAAGTCACACGCTGCAACAGGATTGAGAAAATAATCCAGGAAAACACAAATTCTGGCACGTCAGGAAGGGCACATGCTCTCAGGATGAGTCATATGTACTTCCAGTCTATGGAAAAGTCCGTCAAGTAAAAATAGAATTTATTTTTACTCAGGACAGGCTAAAGAAAGCCATGAGTCCCAGAGAAGTTTGCCATCTCTGGATAAGGCAACAGTGACACCTAGTGGGAACATGAACAATTACAGAGGCAGGCCCTCCCAGGCCCAGCGAGCAAAGCTGCGCTCGCTTCTGTTTCTTCATCTTCCTGGTGACTCTGTCCTCGCTGGTGAGGCCTGGGACCAAACCGGGCGGAGGTTAGTTCAGAGTGGCCGGCTGTTCCCCTCTTGACAGCGACTTTAGGGGAGGAAGACCTATCCAGACTTTTAAACGACACTTGTTGAGCGTCTTCTGAGGTTACTGAGAGGAGAGTCTGGCAGAGGGCTTGCCAGTCTCACCCGCCCCTGGGAGCAAGCAGTCCACCAGGATTGTAACACGTCTGAACATCTTAAAAATTACTCCTAGTTAGAAAGAACTTTGCTTCCCTCTGAGCACAGAGCTCTTTTTTGAGGAGTACAGACATTTTACATGAGGGAGGGATAGGAGGAGAGAAGGGAGGGAGGAAGAGAGAGAGGGAGGGGGGAGTATAATTAAAAAAAAAAAAGACAAGACAATTATTTCACATAATGCATGTCTTTCTTGTAGGAAAACTAATCTGTTTCTTAAACCGCAGTTCTAGATTACAAATCTGTAATGAAGTGAGCCCTCCAAAGCCACATGACAGTAAAAATTCTCAGTAACCCTCAAGTGGCAACAAAAAGAATTTCTCTAATGCACACCATACTTAGATTTCCAAGTGTCCACAGATGGAAAAAGACAATATAAATTTTGACAAAGACGTGCTCAAAAGAACAGTAAGAATTTCATTCTGGGAAGTTTCTCATACAAGGGTTCTTCCAGCTGCTTCCCAGCAAAATCAAACGTAGATTTTGATTCAACTAATAAAAAGTGTCCTGGGATGCTTTGCAGCAGACAAGTAAATTAATCTTAATCTCAACACATAAATTTCTGTGAATGTCTATACAGTGGGATTCCATTTATAGCAGGCTTTCAATATAAAGTGTCTTCTAGGTACAGGGAACGAGTTATTTGAAGGTTCCAGTAGCTACCCATTGCTCTCACCTGTCACAGCTGGAGCACAGAAAGATGAGGAAGGCGATGAGAAAGAAAGTGGCAACGGCCGCCAAACTCCCCCACAGGACAATCTGCATTTGTCCCTCGCTCAGCATGCTCCCGGAGGGTCCCATGGCGGGAGCAGTAAGTGGCACAAGCTGGTGGAATAAGTCAGTCCTTCAATGCTGGCGACATGGGAACAGAGCGCTGTGTCCTCCTGCAGAGAGACCACCGTGTTTTGAAATGACTTCTCGTGTGATGTGCCAGAATCCTGTAACGAGTTCACACTGGGAGGAAGGTCTCTGAGCAAAGTCAGGAGCTGTGTGCAGGGGGCACTGTGCCCAGCGTTTGAGGCAACGGATGTCTTGTTATTTGCATATGACTGGGGATAGATCCTCAGTCATCAAATAAAGTCAGATTCCAAGTACTGCACTGCAAACAAACAAATGCTTATTTGGAGTCTTTTTTGCCAGAACAGTCTAAAGCATTTACTACAGCTTTCACAAACGTGCGGTTTACATTTTCCCCACCTGTCTCCCTAGCTCCCCAAACCTGCTTTTCTTCCAGAAGGTTTAAGGTCAATGCACCTAAGGAAATAGAATGTCTTTATATTCACCTTCCTAACCCGTTATCTGTTCTGAGTCTGTGACTGTTTATTCTCAGGGCAGGCTTTCACTAAGCTCCTGCGAGCACTCCGTAAGCACGTTTTCAAATCAATGGATGATGTACGTCCTAAAAATACGTCACCAGCAGTACATAAGACCTGTAAATAAACAACTACCAATTACGCATTAAGAGGTGTCCCTACTACATTTCAGTACCTGGCATGTGCCTGGGACTCTGCTAAAGGCTTTCCTTATTTCATTGCTGCCAGCAGCCTGTGAAGAAGGCACTGCTAATCCCCACCCATTTTCAAGACAAGGACTCTGAATGGCAGGAATATTGAGTAACCCCCACCCACACCCCCACCCCCACCTCAACCTGCAGGTGTCACAGCTGCTAAGCGGCTCGTGGCCCCTAGAGGGCGCTCCTTCCCCTGGGGGCTGCTGCTTCCTGTTTCAGCTACAACGCTTCTATGTGAAAATGGTCAGATGAGTTTTGTGAAATACGCTGAGTTACAGATTTTGAAAAAGAAGAGTAATATATCAAATTCACAATGATCTCTCATCAGCGAGGCCTTGTTTCAAGAACATTTGCTTCGCTCAACTCCAGAACAGACCATTAAGTTGGAACAGCCTTTAACTTAATCTCGTTTCATGAAGAAAGTAATTTTTTTGTCTTAGATAATGAATCAGAACTTAAATTTTTTTTTCTTGAAGAAGACTGTCGATGTTGACATTTTCATTTGCGTCACTGAAAGAGCCGTAACTGGACTCAGCCATCACTGAGTGTTCACGTCAAGCCAGCGCCTGGGTGGCTGGTGGCCAACAGGGCACTGTGTTCGACGGGACCAAATTTTCTCCAGGTGAAACACATCACATTTATTTGAATATTTAAGGCTGAAGAATAAGAAAAAGCTGGAGAAAAGGAAACATTATCTACAATGTATGCAGAAGGAGTTCCAGGAGCTGAAGTTAGCTGTTTTCCTGAGCTCCTGGAATCAACAGGAACACTTCCTAATGCTCTGTAAACATAGGAACGTACAACTTCCTGTGTACTCTAGAACTTCCTTCTCCCTGTGTTGGTTATATATTACGCCTGCAAACACTCAATGCATGCAGTAATGGACGGTCAAATGGCTTTAGCACTGAATGACAATCACCATCACTTCTATGCTTTGTTGAGGCAACACATAATTCACTTTAAACTCACACTACAAATTGGCATCACAATAGGTTATTAAAATACATCCAAGCAAGCACATGAATCATGGTGACCTATGAATGTATATGAAACACATTTTTATTTACAGGTCCAAAGCAGAATCCATTTTTGGAAATACAAACAAAAGATACCTATGGTGCAGGCGCCTGCTGGTTCCTTCATTCACTCACTCATTCATCTACAGATTTAGTCAACGTCTATTTATAAAGGGCTAAGTTCTTAGAAAATACTTTGCTGTGAATTATTCAAAAGCCAGATATCCATCCAGCAAGCTAGCGTGGGCTGTCGCTCCCTCTCCACTTCTGTATACGTTTTTCTTCTTCTCTCTCTCAACAGGGGGGAGGTCGATGGAATACAATGAAATATGTGGGGTGCCTGGCCTCCCAGAGCACTGGAGGGAGAAAGAGGATGAAAGCAGATTATCACAAGCTACTGGATAAAGGATGTAACGCAGAGAAGATATGTCAAAAGTCCTGGCTCACTCCTCTTCACTAGAACTGCTGAAAAGCTGCTGGAAGAACTCCTTTCCCAAGAGTTCTCATGGTGGATGAAGATCTCACACTGAAAACAGTGATCATGTGGTACACGTTTCTGACTCATATACACTGTGATCCCTTAGGACACAGGCTCCAGCAGCTTGTCAGCTTCCTCCCCTCAGAAGCCTCTAAGTGCAACTCTACAGGGGGACCAGAAGCAATACGATCACTGGGGGCGAGGGCCGGGCAGCAGGGGCAGAGACCACTTACTAAATCCTGCAGGGGGCACGGGTCGACCTACACATGAACATTGACCCTCAGGGCAGACCTCCTGGGTGGGACTATTCCCATTTTAGAGAAGTTCTGCACCCCTGTCTGTTACTCTTCTCTCCGGGTCTCTTTCTTTTGCTGGACTTCTGTTTCCATAACTCTCTTCACAATTCCTTCTCTGGTTATCTCCTTCTTAAATTCCAGAGGCTCAACTACAAGTGAGACAGGACTGGCCTCCCCACTTGTGTGTAGATGGACTGCCCCCCTCCCATGCGTGTAGAGGGACTGTCCTCCCCGAAGTGTGTAGATAGACTGCCCTCCGCCATGTGTGTAGATAGATGGCCCCCTCCCCTATGTGTATAGACGGATGGCCCACCCCCAAGTGTGTAGATGGACTGTCCCTTCCCCCATGTGTGTAGATGGACTGTGCCTCTCCCCACGTATCTAGATGGACTCCTCGCCTGTGTGCATAGATGGACCACATCCCCCATGTGTGTAGATGGACCGTGCCTCCCCCCACGTATCTAGATGGACTCCTCGCCCGTGTGCATAGATGGACCGCATCCCCCATGTGTGTAGATGGACCGCATCCCCCATGTGTGCAGGTGCATACATATGACCTTCATGTTCTTCTTTCCTGGTGGAAATGACAGTGGAGGCCTTGTGTGCGTGGTTTTGGCCTTTCCAAGAGGTGGAATGGCCTTTCCCCCTATGGCTGGACCCTCATGTACTGCCTTCACTGAGCTTCAACATCCTCATTTGGTTTATATTGAGCAGTGGAGGAATCAGTGTCCTTCCCCGTGGCCGAGAAGCTTCCCTCAGGATCAGCCACAGAAGGACAGAGTAATAGGCCACGAGGCACAGTGTCTGGGAAGTAAAAAGTGACCCTGACAAGGAAGGGCCCCTGCACAATGATGGCATGTTCCAGATGGCGCACTGTGCCCTTTACCACCAGGTTCCATGTGGAAAAGACAATCCATGGCTGCAAAGCCCACGATACTGTTATGGTCCTTGAGGACCGTCTTATTTTCTGCTCATTCCTACATCGATAAGATATTTTCTGAGTATCTAGAATTAATCCACACCAGCAGAAATACATGAACAACTTGGGGCTATCTCTCATGATTTTTTTTCTTAAATGACTGGCCCTAAGCTAACATCTGTTGCCAATCTTCTCTTTTTTCTTCTCCCTAAAGCCCACCAGTACACAGTTGTATATTCCAGTTGTAGGTCCCTCTGGCTGTGCTATGTGAGACACCATCTCAGCGTGGCCTGATGAGCGGTGCCACGTCTACACCCAGGATCTGAACCCGTAAAACCCTGGACTGCCACAGCAGAGCATGCAAACTTAACCACTTGGCCACAGGGCTGGCCTCTCTCGTGATTTTTTTCACGGAGATATTTAAGCCTATTTCTCTTGACCATGTTGTTAATTAACAATAAAGTTGTATTCAATTATAGAATATTATGTCTTCAAAGTTTAAAAAATATTCCCTTGTCAGACTACATGCGCGAATATTCTATGAGTTATTCAACATAGGGCAAAGGAGGACCATTCATTATTCCTCAACAAACACTGATCATGGCACCCGAATGCCCCTAAATGAGCCGCAGAAGACTGAGAGTAAGGAAACAGCAGAGGCAGTGGCACGCCTCCCCACTCCAATTCTACATCATTTCAGAGTACTGTGGGAACTTGTCGTTTGGCCCGAAGAAAGGTCAGTGCTTGAGGTGAGAGGACACTTTCAGAAGCTGGGCTGGATAATTATCCTGGACTAAAAGCTCCATAATCCCTCATACTTTTGTATCCATCCAGTTCACGATTTTAATCAATAAGCGATTTGACCTTTAGAAAAACCGACGGGCTTTTACTTTGAGAGCAGGTTTTGACCACCAGGTGGCAGTGTAATTCTACTCTCAGCCCTAATTACCAGGCTCCTTAAGCGGGAACTGCTCAGTTCTTCTTTCTGCTTGTGCCTTATGCTTGGCATTTTAACTGTCTTCGTTAAGCCTGGAGAATCAGCCACCAAAATCAATTCCAACAAGAAAGAAAACAAAAACAGGATGAAACTAATGATAGTTGCAGACCAAATAGCAGACACCTATTTTTTTTAGCCAAGTGCCCTGAACAGAATAGGTGCCCTGACCATGGCAAAGACTGTGAATAATAATGTGGTGGGTTTGGGATGGCGGGTCCAACTGGCCAGGGAAGCAGACACCCGAGCTCCTCTGAAGCAGGTTTCGGGCAGTAATGATGGTCATTACCATTTTATAGCTGTCCCAGTTGACGCATAATTAAGCCTGGTTGAAACCACCTCCACTCATGGCCCCTCATGGACGGATGAAATAAGGAGGCCAAGGACCCAACCCCATGGGAACACCTCCTTCTTGGTCATTACCAGGTATGGGAAGCATGTGGTTAAATGACACTTTATGAGCTACATATTCGCTAAACAAATTTAACAATGGCCAAGGAGCCAAATTCTCTGCCGGGCTCTTGTTCCGTGAGGCCTTGTCAGATCCACAGGCTAAATTAAGTTCTCAACAGAAGTCAGGTGGGTTTCTCTTCAGATTAAAGGGACCCCCACATGGGCCAGCCTGCTACACTGAACTGCGTGTGCGTGAGAGCTAACCAGGTTGGCTGTAGACACGGGACCCACCTGAGTGAATGCCTGCTGTCCGTCCTGCTAAGGCACCGGGGGGCTCTGCCTAACAGGGTTGTTACAAAGAGCTCCCTATTTCTCTGCTTCCCTGAGTCGGGGGGAAGACACCCAGAGAGCAGAAGGTGGAAAAGCCCTCCAAAGTAAGGTTTTTCTTCTTTATAGTTTACCGAATGATTTTAGAACATCACTACAGCGCAGT